GGAGGGCACGTACTGCATGGAGCACTGGGTGTTATACACAAACAATGAATCATGGAACACTACATCAAAAACTAATGATGTAATGTATGGTGACTAACGTAACATAATAAAATAAAATTTAAAAAAAGACAAAAACAAAAAAAAGAATCAGGGCTGGCAGGACACTGCTATTTGGCATGGAAAAAACTGATGAGGGGATAAATTAAATGTGATCTATCCATACAATGAGATGTTACTTGGCAATAAAAAGAAATGAAGTACCAAACCATGCTACAACATTATGCAAGGTGAAAGAAGCCAGTCACAAAAATGCCACATATTATATGATCCTGTTTTTATAAAATGGCCAGAATAGGCAAATCCATAGAGACAGAAAGTAGATTAGTGACTGCCAGGAGGCTGGGATAAAGGGAGAGGTTGAGGGAGTGGAGGGCAACTGTTAACAAGCATGGGGTTTCTTTTTGGTTTCAAATGTGATTTATTGACTGCTGGCGTGCATGGGGTTTGATTGACAAAAATGTTCTAAAATGGATTGTGGCGGTGGCTACACAACTCTGTGAATACACTAAAAACCATTGAATTGTACTCTAAATGGGTAAATTCTATGGCATATGAATGCTATTTCAATAGAATGGTCATATAAAATATAATAAAAATAAATTTTAAAAATGTTTTAAATGTTAAGTCATTTAGGGGCGCCTGGGTGGCTCAGTTGGTTAAGCCTCAGCCTTCCACTCAGGTCATGATCCCAGGGTCTTGGGATCCAGCCCTGCGTCAGGCTCCCTGCTCAGCGGGGGCCTGCTTCTCCCTCTCCCTCTTCCCCTCCCCATCCCGCTCATACTCTCTAATAAATAAATAAGCAATCTTTCCAGATAATGATGAGCAATGCCTTGCAAATGGTCTCAGTGCAGAAAGTTGAGAAATTTTTCCATGCCAAATAGCAGTATTCTATGTTATCTATATAGGTTTATTAGCGATCTTTTGAAAGTGTAAGAATTATGCTGCAGGTTCTCTAACTTACCACTACTGAAACTCTCTTTCATTCATATCAGTTAATGAAAGTGAGTAACTAGAGGCTTGTGTGCTTGATGCTTGGATCTGTGGCACCCACCAGAGGACTTAGCATAGGACCAGAGGTGCTGGGGTTATGGAGAGTAGTTATTTGTTAAGTGTACACATAAGCTACTGTCTTATGTATGAGTTGGATGATAAATATAACAAAATTTTCCATCCCAATTGTGTCAAAATTCAGTTGTGAAAAAATTAACTGTTGATAACTTACCCACTATGAGAGCCCCCATTTCCGATTACTAAAAGTTCTTCCTCTAAGATAAAGACGAAGACTGGATATTTTCAATCACCACTTTTATTCAAACTGACATCACATGGCTGCAGTTATGATACATTGAAAAGTCCACAGAATTTCTGCCCCCAACCCCCGCAAAGCATTAACTATAAAGAAACACCAGACAAACTCAAACTGAGGGACATTCCACAAAGAAACTGGTTTGTACACTTCAAAATGTCAAGTTATTAAATACAAAGGAAGGCTGAGGAACTGCTCCATACAGAAGGAAACTGAACAGTCATGACAGTGTGTGATCCTGGGTCAAATCCTGGACCTCTGGAGGAAATTTTAGAACAATCTGTAAAATCCAAATGAGGTCTGTGGAGTAGAGTTATACCATATCAAGGCTGGTTTCTTGATTTTGATGGTGTGTACTGGAGTTATGGAGAAGTGTAACTCTAAAGAAGAATGTTCACCATGACCAGTACCATCACCAACACTGCCTGGCTCTCCAGCCCGTGGAGAGGAGGAGAATGGCTAACTTGGGTGTGATTCTCCGTTCGGCTACCTTCAAGCAATCCACTGTGAAAACACTGAGAAAACAGAGGATAATGTGTTGACAGTGAAAATGAGAATTCACAAAGCACAGTGAAAAGAATGCCAAGATGGGCAGTAAAAGGAGTAAGAATCAAAGACAGAGGGAGTATAAAGCATTCAAGTATGGGATAAGGGCACTTAAAAAGGCAGATATCCAGTTGGTCTTGGAATTGGGGTAATAATCAAGGGTAACAGGTATGAGAGTCATAAAGGAACAGCTAGCCTCAAGCCTAACAGCTTTTTATGTTTATCAGGAGACCAGCATTCTGTTACCAGCTTCATTAAAAACTAATTATAAATACTATTCAGCAATAAAGAACAAAATACTGATAACATGCCACAACATGAATGACCCTCAAACACACTATAGTAAATGAAAGAAGCCAGACAAACACCACATATTGTATGATGCCATTTACACGAAATGTCCAGAAAAGGCTAAACTATACAGACAGTAGATTAGTGGTGTCCTGGCACTGGGGATTGACTGTAATCCCCATCTGAATACAGTAAATAACAACTCATTTGTAATCCCAAAATTGAGGCATAGAGCTATTTAGTGACAATCACAGTACCTAACTCATAGGGCTCTTTGAAGATCAAATGAGATAATACAGGTTAAAAGCTCAGAACAATGCCCGGCACTTAGTAAGTAAGGGCTCAAGATGGACACGCGCGCGTGCGCGCGCGCGCACACACACACACACACACACACACACACACACATGTCCAGCTTAAAAACTTAGAAAATAAAATGCATGTAAAAAAACAACATGCATATAATAAATTATAAATGTAAATAAAGTATAAGTTCATACTTATTTAAAGGTTCAGCAACAAATTATAGTTCATCCTAGACCTATTTCTTAATCAAGGTAAACAGTTTAAACTATGTCGGGAGAACTTTTTAAATATACATATAAAGTGTAAGAAGAACAAAGGAAACTTACTATATCATTTCCCTAATATTTTGGGTCTAAATAAAGTTTAAGGAAATGTTGAGACTCTTCCTCAGCCTCTCATCTTCTCAAGTTGACATTTTGATGTGTTAATTCCCTAATTACATGATTTTTCAGTATGTTCCACGTTTTATTTCTATACATAAAAGTCCTTTAGCGAATATGGACATCCATCACATATTTTTACTTTAGTAATTTTTGAGTCACAGAGAGTAGGCTGCTGTTACATCTCAGCAATATAATCCTGGACCAAAAAAACCCAGAAATCAATACTATTGAGGCGCAAGGCCCCGACCTCAGTGACATATGTATACTTTTCCATGCTTTCTTGTCCTTTATAACACGCACTATGACACTGGAGGCACAGAAGTTCTCTCTTCCCAGCAGGTGTCAAATAATGATGTAGCTCCTGCCTCCTGAACTCAGTCCTGTTCACTGACTCTTTCAATACAGGTATACAAAGCGAAAAGTTGCTAACCTGCTACTCCACCAGAGAAATAAATAGTTGTTTAATTTTAATCCTTTGAAATAAGTACTCCATGAACATACCTGTGTATCTTTGGTTAAACTATTTCCTCACCAGCATCAACATTCATATTCTCTTATTTATTATCTCTAAGACCATTTATAAAATGAACTCGTTTTCATTATTCTCTGATTCCTTAAGTCTTCCCAGAAAAACTTCCTAACATGAGGAGAAAGTAGAGACAAATTTCAATATTTGATAAATTTTATCTTGGCAACTTTGAAAACAAATTTACTCTTTAAACTGCATTATAAAAAATACATTAGTCTTCACATTAGCTTTACATGGAAATATATACTTGCTTGAATATTTAAATATAGTTTCTCTTTACCAAAAAGTGTCACTCAGAGCCCTAATTACACAAATAATTTAAATGCACAAATGCAAAACACACTTCACACAACATTGTCCACACACTGTATAACTTGGGACAATTATAATAAAAATTTATGCAAGATACTGAACAAGGACAAGATTAATAAAATATTCATTGTGGTTATAACTTGATTTTTCACTATTAAAAGAATTTAATGCACTCTTGAATACACAAAAAACATCCAACTGTTTCATCTAATCGGCAAATGAAGCCAAAATATATTTTGACAAAGGGGCACATCTTGTATCCTACCAAATTCTCAAAGTAATTCATTTCTAATTTAATTTAAATTATAATTTTTCCAATTTCAAGTTTTCAAGCTTGTCTAAAGTAATGACTACAGGAACTAATAAACATTTCCAAAATGTTAAAAAAAAAATAATCAGGACTGTATTATACTTCGATATTTTTAGTAATATAAATTTTAAATATAAACCTTTTTTCTCTCAAAAAAATGGTATTTAGAAGAGTCTCCAATGTGAAAAAAGTAGTAAAATTTTTTAACTGCTTTTAATCATTTGACTTATAAGAACTGTCCTCTCTGCGTGATGCAATCACAATAGATATGACACATCATAATCATTGAGTACATTATTTCCAGATGATCTCCTGCTTTTTAACTTAAACCTAAAGCATCCAGAATGCCTACTAATAGTACTTAAGGAAATTACCGTGTCTACTTTACAGGAAAAAAAAGACACCAATATCCACAAATAGGATATCTTTACATATTAGCTGCTTGTTTACTTCCCAATCAGTAGGACAGTTTTCTTTCTAAATTAAAATTGGAGGGTTATTTTAAATTAGTGGCCCATAGTACTATTTTAAGAAAGGGAATTAAAATATGTTTGTATATGAGGCAAGGTTGAAGTTGCTTTGCAACTAAGAATATAAACACTTGCCCATTTGTTTTTCAACAGAATTACTGTTTTAAATTTAGAAGTAAAGAAATTACAACAGAACACCATCATAACATACCCACAGGTTAAAAACGGCCCCTGAAATAAAACTACATTTAGACACCAACTGTTACACTGTATTTCATTAATTCTAAAGTAACACATTTTTATCTCTGAAATCATGGTACACTGATCTAGTTTCAATAAAATGTGGTTTATACAAGATAGTTGAAATTCATGTTTCCTTTAACATTAACGATAGAAAAGGATCCAGGATCCTTGTCTTAACAGGGTAATTGGATGCGTCTGTACCAGCTCAACCAGTGTCTCTGAATAAAGGATCTAAACATATTCTGAGTATCTCAGAGCCAACTGCTTATCTTAATGTCTTTTGTTTGAACTATTAAAATCAGTTAGCAAGTTTAAGGAAAGCCAAACGAATATACAAATATGTAGTTTTTCCCTTGCAAAACTGGCCTCCACGTAGATTTTCTGTTTTATTAGGTCTTTTGAAATATTAAGATTACAAAGAATTTGTTAATGACAACAATTAATGGTCTGCCCAAATTACCAACCCAATAATTTCAGTTCAATCTCAGTTCAATAATTACAGAAAATGATGTGATAGTGGCTGAAATATTTTTAAGAGGTAAGGCCATAAAGATAACCCAGATTTTCATATTAAACCACCAGCACTTCAGGTGGAGGGGAATAAAGGTGGTAGAAAACATAATTACACTGGCAAGATCATTTTCCCCTTAAGATCTAATAATGCTAAAGAAAAACCTACAGAGACCGTATATGTGCATGTGTCCAAATAAGGAAAGTTAGAGACTTGCAAATCCAATTTAAATGAAGGAGTTTGTGTTTACGTATATAAAATCACTAGGCAGTTTTTAAAAACTGGAGTAAAGATTGTGGAATCTCGTTTCCTTGGATGCTTTTAAAAGAAAGATCAATTATGTTTTGTTTGTGATTATTTAAATCAACCTCACTCGAAAGTGGAGATAACTTATTCTAGTTTCTTCTTTTTAATTATCCAGAATACAACTTTGACAATGCCACTCTGAAACGCACAGAAGTACATATTCCTTTGTTTCAGTTTTTAAAAAGGAAAAATAAGATAGCATTTAATGTTTGCCACATTCATTTTTGCAATATTATAACCTGCTGACATGAGATACAATCATAAAAAATAAATAAGAGGGACATGATTTGAGGGAGAAAAAAATGTATATATACTGTGCTAAATGATGGATATAAATTAAGATGAAGCTCTTCTACGGCAAACGGACGAAGGATGAGTTTAAATCTCAAAAAAAAAAAAAAAGGACCTTCAACACTAATTTTAAATCAATTATAAAAGTTCTGAAAAATAATGTCTGTAGCAAAATAGTTGAAGGTAAATTCTTTTCACCAAAGCTGGGAAAGCTATGTGCACAAATATATTTCAAGTGAAGTACTGAATCCTCAGCTAGCCTCAACACTTCTAGGTGGTCTCATTAGCCCGCGGTTTGTTTGATAGCCGAGTCCTCATCCTATCGGAGTACGGTACCTGAGAATATAAGCTTCTCAAAGCATATATCTTCACAGGTCGAGAAAGCCGCCTTCTTCTCTTCCTCGGGCGTTTTTTACCACCATTCCTCTTTCTTCCTGCAGGGGGGCGAGAACCCTGCCCAGGTTGCTTGGGAGTAGAGCCGGGGGCAGCGATTAACTGCTCCTCAGCAGCCGCCACCGGCGGACCCGGCGGACCCGGCGGCGCGGAGGGACCCTGCGGACCCGGCGGACCCGGTGGACCCGAGGGAACCCGCGAAACCGACGACCTCAAAACCATGTGGGTGGGGCTCTTGGCTTTCTTTAACTTAGCGACGTCGCGGTTCTTCTTCTTCAGATGCAGTCTAATAAAGGCGCTCCTGGACTGATATTTGCGACGCAAGAAGGCCGAGTATTTTGAAAGATACTTCCGAATTATATCATTTAGTTTGGTCTGAATCCAAATTGGCCGTTTTTCTGAAGCGATTCTGGGTTGTGGGTGGAGACTAATTGGTTTATAAACCTTCTGGGGGAAACCTGGCTTATTATCGTTCGCTGTCATCCTCCGCCTCTGAATTTTCTTTCTACCTTCTAAGAACTTACGGGTAACTGCTTTTGAAGAGGTCCCGGCGGCATCGCGGTCGACAAGCGTTACCTGGAAGTTACTTTCCTTTGGAGCTGCACCAGCGCTCGAAGTCCCTGGCCTTGGCACTGGCTCAGGAGAAACGGGGGCCCCCGGATAGGCCAGTAATTCATCCCTTATGGTCAAAACGGCTGTTGGGTCACAATCTTCAGCATCTTCCTCGCCTGAACTGGAGCTCAGGTCGCTGAGATGAGCTTGAAGCCAGTTAGTTCTGTCAGGGTCTGATACATCTATGCTCAGTGGAGGATTAATTACAATTTTCTTATTCAATGGGTCATAGTAATTAAAGGAGCTCCGTTTATATTTGTACTCTATGCTAACATCTCGACTTCTGGGGGTGCGGTATTTTTTAGAGAAGTTGGCAGTTTCACTGTCCTGAAATTTCATATTTGAAGAAATAACGTAGACTAAGGCATTGGGTTGCAAAGGCTTCAAAACTTTAGTACATGTTTCAGGAAATTCAAGTGTTCCAATTTTCACTTTCTTTTTTGTTTTTTTGTCCTGTAGAAGCGAACGCTTCCCTGTTGGTGAGTCGTCCTCCTGTCCACTGTCTTGTGTGTCTGACTGGTTTGTGAAATTGGTTTGAGTTCCATGGCTGACTTTTACAGCCTGACATCGAGAAGCCAGTCGCCATGATTGTTCATAATAAGGCCTCTTTACTGTAGAATGTTGGCTAGATTTATCTAAGGCCACTGAAAAGTCATCGGTATCTGAAATGCCACCTGCATTATCATCACAATCTGAAAGAACTTGAATTGCTGCAGTGTCCTGACTCGGGTCAGTCCAGGTAATCTTTTTTCCTTCATTCAAATTTTTTTTTTTTATTTTCCTGGTCTCACAGTCATCATCAAAGTAACAGTGGAAACGACCCTCCTTAAATTCCTTGACAAGAGCATTAATTTTCATGTCATCTTCTCTCATTATTTGAGACCATGTTTTCCCTACAAATGAAGGAGGGACATGAGGCAAGGCTTCAAGAACAGGTTCATCCGGATTGTCTTCTATGACCTCCTTTGCCTTTTCCAGGTTCCTGACAGGATCAACCACGAAAATAGAGCTTGAATGGGAATCGCGGTTTGTTTCTTCTAGGTCCAGAGACATCTTCTTATACAGTCCTTTTTTATTAACAGCTTCTTGAGGCTGGTCAGTGTCAGACTGAAGAGAGAGCTCACACTGAAAACTCATTCCAGAACCACATGGTTCACAGCTCATACTTTCTGGATCTGCATGTTTTAGCTTCAGAAGTTTTCCTTTACTAGCCCTTTGATGGACGGCTGACCCAGAAGAGGCATTACAACGCACTGCAGAAACAGGAGATTCACAGTGCTTATCTTTTCGGCCAATAGTTTCGAGACCTTTCCTCTGACAAATGTTGATTCCTTTGTCTTCTTCCTGAAGCTGGTCAGCCATTGGCTGAGAATCGTCTTCCCATTTGAAATTTGTTTTAGGACTGTCAGATCCACAACTCTTCTCTTCCGAGTCAATGTATTTCACCATTTCTTTATCAGACCCTTGTGACGAGAGAGTCACAGACCGATCTGGGGGATCTATTTGAAAATTTATTTCAGAACCATAAGACTCACAGCTTGACTCCTGCAGAATAATATAGTCTTTCTTCTGGTTTACTACTTTGAAAGTCTCTTTGGATTGGTGTGCCAGTGATTGAGGAGAGGCTTCACAAACATATCCTATTTCAGAACCACAGGAGTCACAGCACTCACCTTCCAGATCATAACCTTCCGTATTTATACAATTGATTTCTTTGACGGTCATGTGAGGTGAGTCAATCACTGGCTGAAAAGGCATATCAGACTCAGCAATCACTTCACAATCACTATCACTGGTCACCAGGTCCACAAATAGCATCTTTCGAAGATTTGCTTCTTTAACTGACACTTGAAGTTCATTAACCACTATTTCAAGAGGGACATCAGAATCACACATTAATTCAGAATCACTCGGTTCACTGCTCTTTATTTCCATGCCAAGATGCCCTTCCTTTGGAAGATCTATTTCTTTGCACACCACTTGAGATTGGTCAACCTCTAACTGAAAATGAATACCAGAATCACATTTTATTTCAGAAACACTGGGTCCACAGCTCTTATCTTCTAGGTCATGATGACCCCTCTTTTGCAAGTTTATTTCTTTGACAGCCAGAGGAGATTGATCAGTCACGAAGTGAACAGGAACATCAGAATCATAACTTACTTCGAAGTCACCTAGTTTATAGCTCTTATCTTCCAGGTAAATATGGTCTTCCTTCCAAAGACCGACTTCTTTAACAGATTTTTGAAGGTGGTCAGCCACTGACTGAAGATGATCATCAGAAATAAAAGTTATTTCAGGACAAGCAATACTGCTCTTATCTTCCAAATTGGCATGTTCCCCTTCCAAAAGGTGTGGTTGCTCAACCACTGATTGAAGAGGGACATCTGAAACATAAATTATTTCAGAATCACTGGGTTCATAGCCCTTATCGTCCAGACAAACATGTCCTTCCCTCAGAAGATTTATTTCTGCAATAGCATCTTGAATTTCATTAGCCACAGACTGAAGAGATTCATTAGAATCAAAATTTATTTTAGGGTCACTAGGTTCCACAATCTTCCCTTGCAAGTCAACATGCTCCTTCCAAAGGTTCATCCCCTTAACGACTTCTTCAGTTTGGGCAGCCACTGACTGAAAAAGGACATTAGAATCATACACCATTTCAAAACCCTTGGGTTCATCCCTCTTATCTTCCACATCAACTTCATCCTTCCAAAGGCTTATTTCTTTAACAGTTTCTCTAACCTGCTCAGCCACTGACTGAAGAGGATCCTCAGAATCAAAACTCATTTCAGAACCACCAGATTGACTGTGCTTATCTTCTAGCTCAATATGGTCCTGATCCAAAATAGTTATTTGAGGTTGATCAATTATTGACTCAACCAAGAAATCGGAATCCAAACTCATTTCAGAACCACTACATTGGCTGTTCTTATCTTCCACGTTCACATGACCTTCATTCTCAAGGTTTACTCGTTTAATAGCCCCTTCAGGTTTATCAGCCACAGACTGAAGAGAAACACCAGAAGCACGTATTAATTTAGAACCTTTAGTTTGAACCATTTTATTTTTCATTACAACTTTCCCTTCCTTCCTCAGGTTTGTTTTCTTAACCACTTCCTGAAATTGTCCAGTCAATAGCTGAAGAGGGTCACCAGAATCATATCTTATTTTACAATGACTAGATTCACGCTTTTTATCTTCCAGATGAACATTTTGTTCCTTCAAGCGGGTTAGCTGAGGTTGGCCAATGACTGAATGAAGAGGGGCACCAATATCCAAATTTACTGCAAAACCTCTAGAGCCAGTAGTTTTACCTTCTGGGGCAACATGGTCCTCCTTCAAAACAGCAATGTGAGGTGTTTCAGTCATTAAGTGAGGAAGGACATCAGAACCAAACATTATTCCAGAACTGCTATATTTATCACTCTTTTTTTCTAGAACACGTTCTTCTTTCTGAACATTGATTTCTTTGACAGCTATCTGAGGTTCAGTCACTAAATAATGAGGGATGTCAGAATCTGTTTCAGAACCACTAAATTTAGCACTTTTACTTTTGAATTTAGCATGTCTTTCTTTTTGAAGCCATATTTCTTTAACAGCTGTTTCAGGCTTGTGAGTCACTGACTGATGAAGATGGACACCAGAATCCAAACTTGTTTCATAAACACTTAATGCATTATCCTTATCTTGTAAGTGTATATGTTCTTTCTGATGGCTTATCTCATTAACAGCTATGTTAGGATGATCAGTCATTAAATGATAAGAAATGTCAGATTTCAAACTGATTTCAGAAACATTAGGCACATTACCTTTATTTCCCAAGTGTATGTGCTCTTCCTGAAGATTCATTTCTTTAATGGGATCTGCAGAATGTCCAGTCATTGAATGAAAAATACCATAATCCAAACTTAATCCGGAACCACTAGGTTCATTGTCCTTATTTTCTAAGTATATCTGCTCTTCTTTTTGAAGATTTAGCTTTTCCATAGCTACTTCAGGAGGGTCAGTCACTGAATGAGGAGGGACATAAAAATCCAAACTTATTTCAGAACCACTGGGTTCTTCATTCTTCCTCCCTAAGTGTATATATTCTTCTTTCTGAATGATTATGTCTTTAACAGCCAGTTCTGGTTGATTAGTCCCCGAATGAACAGGTATATCAGAATCAAAAGTTATTTCAGCAACACAAGATTTATTAGTCTTGTTTTCCAGAGGACTAGGTTCCTCCACATAAATAGCCACTTGAGACTGGTCAACTCCTGAGCGAAGAAGAATATCAGAATCAAAAGTTATTGCAGAACTATTTGACCCGGAGTGCTCACCTTCCAAGTTAATGTGCCTTTTTCTTATTTCTTCCATGTCCATCTCAGACTGCTCAGTACCTGACATGGCAGGGGGATCAGATTCAAAAGTCAACTCAGAACTGGAGCACCCATAGCTCTTAACTTCCATGTCAACATTTAACTCTTTCAGACTTATTTCACGTTGATCACTAGCTGACTGATAAAGAGAAGCACGAGAATCAGAACTTTGATCAGAATTGCTAGACTTAACGCTCTTATCCTCCAGGTCAACAGCTACTTCTCGGGGGTTCACTTTTTTAACTATTACTCTGGATTGGCCAGCCACTAATCGCGCATCAGCGTGAAAACTCATTTCAGAACCGTGAGAATCATAGTTCATATCCACAGGTTCATTCTTTTCCTCCAGAAGATGTATTTCTTCAACAGTCCTCTGAGATTCATCAGTCACTGTCTCAAGGGAGACCGCATAATCAAGATGGGCTTTAGCACTGGTGGATTTAAGGTTCTTATCTTTCAGGTAGACCTGTCTATCCTTTAGGTTTCTTTCTTTGACAACCAGGTGGGGATGCTCAACTACTGACTGAGGAGAAGCATCATTATCAACACTTGTTTCAGAACAACTCGAACCATAGTTCTTATCAACCAAGCCAATGTGAACCTTCTGAAGTTTTGCTTCTGTGGCAGCCACTGGGAGTCGGTCACCCACTGACTGAAGGGGAAATGGAGAATCAGTACTTACTTCGGAGCTACTAGATCCATAGTTCTTATCAACCAAGTCAATGTGTTCCTCCTTAGGAAGGTTTACTTCTTTTGCAGGTTGTTGGGGGTAGTCATTGGTTGACTGAAGTAAGGCATCACATTCAAAATTAATCTCTGAATCACTAGATTCATAGCTTTCATCAACCAGGCTAATAGGCTTTGCCTTCTGAACCCTTACACCTTTAACAATTACTTGAGTTCGGTTGGTAGCCAACGGAAGAGAGCCGTCACGATCAGAACTTATTTCAGAAATGAAAGATTTATTATTCTTACACTGCAAATTGGCATATGCTTCCTTTGAAAGGTTTATTTCTTTGGCAGTCACCTTAGATTCGTCAGTCGGTGAATGAAAAGGGGAACTGCAGTCAAAACTCATTTCAGAAGCTCTTGATTCATAGTTTTTATCTTCTTGGTCAACCTGCTCCTCTTTCCAAAGGTCTTGCGCAGCCTCTTCGGGTTGATCAGACGCTGACTGAAGAGAGCCACGAGCAAACTTCACTTCAGAAATCACTGAGCTCTTCTGTCCCAAAAAGGCTGACTTATTAAACACCAAATGCTTTTCCTCTTGGGTATGATCCATATCAGAAAAGAATTTCCCACGGTGCTTTGCAGTAGCATCTTCAAAGATTCCTTTATTAGAAGGCATGCCACTTTTATTCAGGTTGATTCCTTGGTTGACAGCTAATTTGGAAAGAGATTCAGATTTTAAGGAGCCTTCAGTGCCCATAAATTCACGGACTTTAGCGCCAGCTGACAAAGTTTTACACTGAGATTTTTCATCTTCCTGTATAATCAATTTATCTGAATTTGTACCTAAAGATTTCCTATTTGGTTCTTTAGGTTTCTGATAGGAAACTGAAGAAGTTTCTAGACTGGATGACAGCACAGGATTTCTAGAGCCCCTGTCTGGCTGTTCAACGTATCTGTCAACTTTGTTTGGGTCACATTTTCTGACTGAACCTGAACTGGCTGCAGCTGGTAACCTAGTAGTTTTAGTTGTAACTGGTCTATCAAAGGAACTTCCAGCTAAACAACTAGCAGGAGCACTAGAAATCACTGATGGACATATTAAGCTTGGTCTAGTATGTGTAGCTTGGCCAATACCAACTGGATTAAATTCTTTCATGCCACTCCCAATTTTCTGAACAAACCCCAAGGGCTGCTGTTGTCCCTTCTCCAGTTTTTGAATAACTGATGGTCTAACTGAAACACCCTGTATATATTCCTGAGATTTGCTGGGTCTAGAATGCAACTCTTTACTAGGTTCAAAACCCTTGGTGGAGCTCTCTCCTTTGACTCCAGCAGCATCCTCAGTCGCTCCTTCAGAAACAGAATCATCAACAGGAACCACTTCAGGAGGTGACGCAGTATTCGTAAGAAGTCTCTCATTTTGGGTTGATCTAAAAAGCAAGGGGGGAAAATCCATAAAAATACTCTAATATCTATTTAAAATGTTACAATAAAGGCACAATAATGTTATTTTCTTTCTATCCTGGGCCCGCTTGTCAGAGGACACAGAATCAAGGCAATCACATGAGGTTGTACCCTGTATGTATTTGCAGGCAGGGAAATCAGCACAGAAGGTGGAGGCAGCTCCACCAATTGCTACTTAATAAACACAAATGGCTCCTAAACATAAAACACTACTAAAAAAAAAAAAAAGCCATATATCATTTATCAGAGTGGTAAACAGCAAAAAGTGTTACATAATTACATAACCTTCTAGGCTTCAGTTCTCTCAAAAAAAGAACGGAATATTACTTTCCCTCATGAGATTGTTTTGAGGAGTAAATTAGTTGTTATATGTAAAGAGCATTTTTTTTAAAAGCCTGGAAAATATAATCATCCACAAATGTTAGCTATTATTTAACACACTGTTGGGTTTTTTAAGTTTTTATTTAAATTCCAGTTAGTTAAAATACAGTGTAACATTAGTTTCAGGTGTACAATTTAGTGATTAAACACTTCCATACGACGCCCCCGGTGCTCATCACAAATGCACTCTTTAATCCCCATCACCTATTTCACCAATCCCCCCACCCATCTCCCCTCTGGTAACCATCAGTTTGTTCTCTATAGTTAAGAGTCTGTTTCTTGGTTAGCCTCTCTCTCTTTTTTCCTTTGCTCATTTGTTTCGTTTCTTAAATTCCACACGAGTGTAATCATAATAGTATTTGTCTTTCTGACTGACTTATTTCACTTAGCATGATACTCTAACTCCATCCACATCATTACAAATGGCAAGATTTCATTCTTTTTATGGCTGAGTAATATTCCAGTGTGCATTATGTGTGTATGTGCCACATTTTCTTTATCCATTTATCAGTCAATGGACATTTGGGCTGTTTCCATAATTTGGCTATTGTAGATAATGCTGCCACACACAAAAATAAATTCAAGATGGATTAAAGACTTAAAGGTGACACATGAAACCATTAAAATCCTAGAGAACACAGTCAGTAACCTCTTTGACATCGACCACAGCAACTTCTTCCTAGACATGTCTCTGAAAAAATAAACTATTGGGACTTCATCAAAATAAAAAGCTTCTGCACAGTGAAGAAAACAATCAACAAAACTAAAAGGCAACCTACCAAATGGGAGAAGATATTTGCAAATGACATATCTGATAAAGGGTTAGTATCAAAAAATATAAAGAACTTATAAAACTCAACACCCCAAAAACAAATAATCCAATTAAAAATGGGCAGGAGACATGAATAGACATTTTTCCAAAGAAAACATACAGATGGCCAACAGACACATGAAAAGTGTCTCATCATCACTCATCATCAGGGAAGTACAAATCAAAACTACAATGAGATGTCACCTCACACCTCACTGTCAGGATGGCTAAAATCAGGGGTGTCTGGGTGGCTCAGTCAGTTAAGCATCCAACTCTTGGTTTCGGCTCAGGTCATGATCTCACAGTCGTGACAGCAAGCCCTGCATCAGGTTCTGTGCTGGGCGTGGAGCCTGCTCTCCCCTCTCCCTTGCCCCTCCCCCCCCGGGAAAAAAATTTTAAATGCCAAGAGGAGTCTAAGGAGACAAGTTAATGGAACATGGTTATCCCAGATGGGACCTTGAAACAGAAAAAGACATTAGGTAAAAACTAAGAACAGCTGAATGAACTACAGAACTTAATGTATTAATATTGGTTCATTAATTGTAACAAATGTGCCATACTAATGTAAGTTGTTAGTAATAGGGAAATTAGGTGGAGAGGGTATATAGGAACTCTCTGTACTACTTTTTCAAGTTTTCTGTTGCTCTAGGGGCACCTGGGTGGCTCAGTCGGTTAAGCGTCTGCCTTCGGCTCAGGTCATGATCCCAGGGTCCTGGGATCGAGCCCCACATCAGGCTCCCTGCT